GTGCCACTAAATTTTTAAATTTCAATGCATATCAATATTATGTATTGAAATTAGCACTATTCACTTATATATTCTAAAAGTTGTGCCCATCCAGTTGAACAATTCTGGATCTGCCCCTGATATTGGTTCCCACTCATTATTACCAATTAGCATTTTTATTTAAATACAAAAAAATGTAGAAATATTTTAAGAAATGCAGATACCTAAAAATATTATTTCGTTAATAAAAAATATAATAGTAAGATACTTACATTCTACTCCAAGTTCTCAGCTCTAAATGAGACTTGAGTTAATAGAATACTTACTTAATTACTTATTTAATTACTTAAAGAGACGACACTTACCATCTAACATTGTACGACCTAACAGTGACTTATTGATCTCCTTTTCCACCTCATCCATTATCCATGGCATGAATCCATTTTCAACATCTCGCTCAACTGGATCATAGAAGTATCCATTGTCACTCAGAGTACCAAACACAGAGGGCACCAAGTCTGCTAAGTAGCTTTGTGCAAATGCTCTAGCTGCAATCTTTTCGGCAGTTTCACGTTCCTTCTTAAGAACCTCTCTCTGCTGTTTCATTCTTCTCTCCTAAGAAAAGAAAATGATTAAATTACTGCATCATGAAAGGTACAAGAAAAAGAAAATGCAAAGAAAAATTTGACATTGAAGAATACACTTGTGAAGTGACTTCCGTTATTTAACCAAAAAGAGTGGATCTGATCAGATTTTTGTTGTTAATGATGATCTGTTAAGACTGTCAGAGACAATTATCAGATGCTGTCACATAGCCTAGCGCTCAAAGGGAGCAGATTTGGATTTGTCAGCCGATGGTGGTATGACCGTTGCATGATGCACTGAGTGCCCTGCTTAAGACTTTGTTGAGTCTGATAGACAAAATGAGTGTATGACATGCCTATATACAGTAGTACAGTATTTACATAAATGTAGCTATTTAGTCTGTTACAGTGTTAGGGTACATTTCAGATCAAAATTGAGATATGTGCTAGTACATAGCAGATAATCACAGTGGATAACTCACTTTAAACAGGCATTGGAAGAATAACGTGTTTAAACATGAGCCAACCAAAATATATAGGAATATCATAAGACAGCCACATTATTTCTGTGATCATTATTATGAATAATATTATTATTATAATTTTATTTATTTTTGTGATCATTATTATGATTATTATTATTATTGTTATTGTTGTTGCTGTTATTATTATTATTATATTATTATTCTATGCTTTGGCAGTTGACACTTGTACAAGGAATATCTCCCTTTGTTAACTACCATCTCATGTGAGGAAATAAAATTATGAATTATGAATTATGAAAAGAAATATAAGCAGTATAAACTTACTTTTTCTTCTCTGTGTCTTCGTTCTTGCTCCTCAAGTCTCTGTGTCTCCACAACCTCAGCATTGCGTAGCTCTTCAAAGGCTCTTTGCTGGGCCCTGAGATTAGCAAGTTCTTCCTCCTCCATCACCTCCAGTAAAGCCTGCTCCACTGTCTTACCTACTAGCACCTCTAGGATAGGCTTAACTTCCAAGTCAAAATCAAACAACTGGAAAAGAAAACAGTTACGTAGTTAGAATCGCAATCAAAAAGTTGCCCTAAATAATGGTGTCCACTGAAAATTGGATGGGGTAGTGTTAAAATATGTACCTTTTTTTGTTTCATGCAGAAAAAAGTGTCCCTTTAATAGGGGTGACCCAAAGGAGGGATTCTACTTTATCATTATATTTAATTCTTAATTATATTTTCTCCCAAAATTTTCCAACACAAAAGTAAATATTTACTATTATGTAATGTTCACCACATTTATTGTAATTTAATTGTAGGAACTCTGATTCAAAAATTTCAATTTGGCATTTTGTAATCTTCTAATACATGCATTATAAATTTCTACAACTTACATCGCCTTCATATATTTGGGTTGCAACATCCATACCGGTCTTGGCTGGTATAAAAAGTGGAGTAGGTGGTCGATCCAGAAACATGTCTGTTTGGCAGTCGACGTCAGCTTCTTCAACACGATCACTAAGTTCCTCCAAATAGAGTTCAGTCTGTACATCGATATGCTTGCGACCTTCTAAAGGTTCAGGAGATTTTGGTTTCAACTGTTCTCTTGCACGTTTCCTTGCAATATTCCGCCTCCGAATCTCCTGTTGCCTCTGCATTTCAATTGGATCCGGTTGTGCTGACTGAATCAAAATAAAAATGGTAATTAAAAACTGTATTTATCTCAACATACAATGCTCCTTCAAATGGATTTCATTTTAAAGATCATGTTTATAATAATACATTATAGAGTACTTATTAAACAATTATATAATCCTTATAAAAGAAACTGCTTTGGAAATTTGTTCAAATGGATTCTCTTACAGCTGGGAGTGTATGTTGAGCATATGTGTTTCCTCTGACAATTCTTCTGTCATACATAATATTGCCATATAATCCATCTCCGCTAAAAGAAAAAAAAATAACCATTTATCACACATGAGCACAGCATTTGTACTGTTGTACACACAGGCCCCTAATAATACTAGGCCTAAATTTATCAGACTTACTGATTTGGAAAATAAAAATATCGAACTAATGTGGGTGGAAGTAAATTTCTCTAATACGAAAAGACTCTTGATTGGTACGTATTATAGACCTCCTAATCAAGGCATGGAATCCATCGAAGTACTTTCTGCGCTGCTGGACGAAGCGATGTCAAGATATCCAAGCCACAGGTTTATTCTTCTGGGTGATTTTAACCTACCGACAATCAATTGGTCTCAAAAACCACCTTCATCGGCACCAAATAGTTGTGGTGAATATTTTTTAGATGTTGTAATTCATGGACAGCAACTTAAACAATGCAATTTTAATGTAACTTGCAATGATAAAATACTTGATCTTGTACTTTTTAATCAACTTAACGGTAATGAATGTGATTTGGTCTCAGATGTTAATGCCGGCGAAAACATATTCATTTCCGACCATGAGTCTCTAAGTTTTAAATTATCTCTTAGAAGTACGGCTCAGTCGCACAAAACTGATCGTATCATGTATAACTATAAGAAAGCCAATTTCAATGTAATTAATGAAACCTTTTGCTATATACCATGGAATATTTTGGATCTTGGTTGTGACGTTGACGATAGCGTAGATATGTTCTACGATCTCGTTA